AGCCAGAGTAGGACCACAAGTCTAGTCATAGACAAGTCTATCTCTGACTATATAAAGAGAGACCAGTGAGAAAATAATAATATAAATATTCTGTGTTTGTTCACTAAATTCTACATTCTTTATACAGTTTCAGTTTAGCAAAATAAAACGGTGAATGAATATTTTCTGAGTACTCACACGTGTAACTGAGTACTCACTGAGTAACAATACTCAGAAATTGTTAGCAGTACCAATATGGGTACTCATGGACGAATTATGAGTAAAGTCGTATTCATCGTATGAGTACTTTCACTAGGGTAGCCATCACTTTTTGACGTTTATGATTTGTGACTTTTTGTTTACTGTTTATCAAATGTAACAGAAAGTCAATTATTCAAAAAAATCGACTGTCATTCACAATGCCGTTTAGTTCAAAATAACAAAATTTTCTTAACATTTTTGAAAAGTAAAACATTCAAGAAAATGTGTACGGATAAACATAAAATAACGTCTCTACAACGTATACACATCATAATTTTATTATTCCATAGCTGTTTTTCTATCGTAGTAGATATCAAACTATAGACTAAATCAGATTATGGAACATCGGTTCAGTCCTGGCAAGAACTTTTTATGACTCAGTTTAGAAATAAATTCATTTTGTCAACTTTTGTTATGACAGACTCGAAAAATTGCCAGCAATTTCTTCTAACGTATTTTCCTTACTATCTTCCTCATTTCACATGTGAAAAAAACATCAGAAAGTGGTTGAAGTTATGAAAGAAAGCAATAGCTAAATTGTGATTAATATTTAAACATGCACCATATTCATCATATAAAGATACTATTGCAACATTTTCTATTAAAGAATTTAATATATCCCACAACGTTTACAAAAATATCGACTATTATTTAGATGCAATATTTGTTGTTTTTTTTGAAATTGTCATCTTGACAATGAAAGAACCGCTTTCTGACACTCGAAACGGTGTCTAGTCTCGGATTAGTTGAAGATATTATACCTTAATTACAAAAAAGAGATGATAAATTTTTGAAAATTATTTTTTAGTGTTATTCTTGAATTGAAAAAAAAGGTTTTTTTGTAATACCAAAAAGTAAGAACGTTTAGTTAGGTAGTGGATGGGACATTTTATGTTTTACAGCGGTATAAAATTGTAGGAGGGATGCACTCAGGATGAACGCTACTGTAAGATAGTTAAACTAATATCAATGAATTTGAATTTAAAATGATAAAATTAAGTCTCTATGTTAAATTTGTGTAGATGAGATGGCTATGTATAATTAATTTAGTTGTACTTAGGGTTGACCAAAAGTTCGTAGAACGATGATGCTCGCTTCCCTTACATCGTGATCAAAACCTTTGGTCAGCTCTAAGTATATTCTGATAGCGCTTGAATTTCTCTATCGTCCGATATATTTGTCTACTGTCCTGCATTTATCTATTGCAAAAATAACTTGAATACAATGAAGATATCCTTAATTGACAAGTACGAAAATTCGCTGCTTTTTATGCTTTTTCAAATTATAGATACTATGGAAATAAATCTTTATAAAAGGAATTAAACATTCTGATAGAGCTTCAAATTCTCTATCGTCCTGTATATTTTTGTCTTATCTTGCATTTATGTGCTAAAGAATAATTTGACTATCATGCAGGCACGCTTGTCAATTGAGGGTGTCTTCATTGTACTCAAGTTATTTTTGCAATAGATAAATGCAAGACAGTAGACAAGGACGATAAAGAATTTCCAGCGCTATCAGAATATACTTAGGGCTGACCAAACGTTTTAATCACGGTGTGAGGAGCGGAGGACGGAATCACCGTTCTACGAACTTTTGGTCAACCCTAAGTATTTAATTTTGCGCAAAAAAAAATGATCATAGTATAATAAAAATTTTAATTGAATAATCTCATCGGACGTGTGTGCGTGTGTGTGTGTGTGTGTGTGCTAGTAATATTTTTCTAGTGTTAAAACCATTTAAAAATCAAACACAGCAAACGCGTAGAAAACAGAGCAAAAACTAGGTCACTATTTATCTTTCTTTAGATTTTTACATTACCGATGAAATGTTTCTTTCATATATTGAAGAGAAGTTTTTTGTTAACAATGGTTTTCTATTACTCAAATCATTGGATAATAAAAATGAGGATGTTAATGTTGTTTAGTTTTTACAGAATCTTGTAGTTCAAGTAGACATGATGCTAAAATATGTGAATCAGTCAATAGTCTCATAATTCATCAACATTTTGGGATGTACTTTGTTGTATTCTTGAGATAAGAGCTACTGCGTGACATCATCAATGATTACATATTTCATAGAATTTGAACAAAAGATGACCAAGACGAACGAAAAGCTATACGCTGAAAGTTTTCTTGATTTAATGAGTCATGAATTTTTTTGTTTTTTATAGTGACAAGTGGAGAAAGTGTTATTGACATAGATAATTACACAATATATGAAATGTCGGAACAAGGGTCATTGAATCTCAAAAAACAAGAAGACTTTTATTATTACTCACAGAAGAAAAAAGCTCGTCTTTTAAGAAATTTTTTATTAATCCAGAGGTAGTGGAAAGAATGGTTAAGAGACACCACATGACACCACATTTGACCTAATTATATTGTAAAATTGATTAATTTACTAAATTGAATTGCTTTTTAAGATATGGGCCGAAAACGTAATGGTCAACATTATTTATTATTATTATGGAAAAATTATTTATTGTCGCGTCGAATGCTCATAAGAACATTTCTTGAAATAACCTTGCCAGTCTTTTTTGCTATATTATTACTCGGTATTCGACGTATTGTAAAATCTGAAATTATTACTGAAGATACTAATTATAAACCATTTTCTATTAATGAATTACCAAATTTTACCGAAATAAAACCGAGCACATTTGCCTACGCACCAAATACAACTTTTACAAAAAAAATTGCAAAGAGAGTTGCTGCTGATCTAAAGTTAGGAGGTATTCTACTCTATAAACTTTTATATAAACTTTTCTTTTTTTGTATTTTTGTTTTTGTATTGATTTGTTTTAGTATCAGAATATGCAACTGAAGAGGACCTGGTTCACAATATTCGAGATTCAACAGTTACACTAGGTGGTATTGTGTTTACGTCCCTGCCCAATGAAACGTCTAATGATATCACTTATAAAATTCGTCTGTCATCAAAACCGAAAAATACTGGACAATCAACGTTGGTTTGCTATTTTTTTTCTCGCGTTTTTACTAATTGAGAATATTTACAGATCAAGAAACCAAATTTTTTCAAATAAATTATGCTCTTTAATTACTATTCTTATTTATTTTACTTGTTATTTTAGGAGTCTATTTGGTGGTGACACGGACTGGAAAACAAATTTATTATATATAGTATTTCCGTTAGTGGGTCCTAGGGAAAAAAATTCTACAACGGGTGGCGATCCAGGTAAAAATTCTTGATTTTTTTTGTGTTAATTATCATAAATTTATTGCATTTCTCTATTCTTTTCAGGATACTATCGAGAAGGTAGAATCAAGAAAGATATCTGAGTTTATGACAACTAATTTATCATATATTATCAGGTTTTTTGACCCTTCAACGTTCAATTGATTTTGCCATAATTAATGAGAGAAATTTATCATCCATTAATGAAATAAAATTAGAATTACAGCGATTTCCCTATCCTCCATATAAATCCGATAATTTTGTCCTAATTATTCAAATATGGTTTCCATTTTTGTTAATTATGAGCTACATTTTCTCGGCTATAAATACCGTAAAAAATATTGTCTACGAAAAAGAAAAAGGACTCAAAGTAAAAACAAATTTTTTATCGTTATAATAGGTCTAAAAAAACAATTTTTCTTCTAGGAAGCTATGAAAGTTATGGGTTTAAATAGTTGGATTCATTGGGTAAATGGTGTAATCACTATTATTATTACTCATTCATTATTCAATACTTTTCATATTTTTAGCTTGCATGGTTTACTCGAAGTATTGTGTTTTTAGTAATAGCCGATGTTCTTATCAGTTTATGTTATGTTATCAAAGTACCACTTTCAAATGGTGGCAAGAGTTCAGTAATTGGAGAATCAAGCATTACACTACTATTTGTCTTCTTATTTTCATATTCAATTACATCAATTTGTTTCATGTTTTTAATTAGTAGTTTATTCGATAAAGGTAAATATTTTAATACATTGTTTTTTTATTGGTTAGTCAATTCTCAATTAGGTTTAAATTTGATAAAAATTTATGATAATGTACAAGCATTATCTAGAATGTTTAGACGAAATTTTATGATGTTAAAAAAAAGATTTAATTTCGCTTATTATTAGAATATTCTTTTTATAATTATCAAATTTGATAATTTCGTCTAGAAATATCAATAGATCGTGCAGTCAGTCATTCAAGTTAAAAGTAATATTTCTTTTTTGTTATCTATTCTAGCTAATTCGGCCGCTGCAGGGGCCGGTGGACTTTGGTTTATATCATATTTACCTTATGCATTTATCCAACCACGTTATGCATCAAACGAGTAGTTCAAATTTGATGTGTCCATGAAAAAATTCTTCTTGAAGTACGATCCTTTCTATAAATTAGATAACTATGTTATACATTTTGTTAATAAAAAATTGGCTCGATAATAATTAAACAACACGTTGACGAGAGTATCAAAAATGGCTTCATGTCTTTTACACAATGTTGGTCTATCATTAGGAGCACAGTTAATCGGACAATTCGAAGGAAAGGGTATATTTATTTATTTTTTTCAATTTTTTAATCATTTATTAAAATATTTCGCGATGATTTTAGGCACCGGTTTACAATGGTCAATGATAAATCAGGGATTTTCTGTTGATGATAATTTTACGATGGTAGATGTTCTTATAATGTTGTACGCAGATGCACTGATTTATCTCATAATAGCATTGTATATCGAGAAAATTTGGCCAGGACAGTATGGCGTACCGAAGTGAGTGTGCTGTTTTTGAATTGTTGAAAATCAACTAAAAAAATATTTGTTGAATATTTAGATCATGGTATTTTCCGTTTACACTAACCTATTGGCGAGGGCATGCACATAATAATATGAATTATGTTGCAGTTGATGCTACAAATGGACTGTCTCCTTCTGAGTCAACAAATGAATTTGAAGAGGAACCAAAAGATAAAGCACTGGGTATTTCTCTTTTTAACGTATCAAAGGTAGTACAACAGTTTTAACATAATTTTGATGATAAAACATTTTTTCCTTCTTATTAAAGGTGTATTCATTTTTCTTGAAAACAAAACAGCCAATTCATGCCGTACGCAATGTCAGCTTGAATATTTACAATGGTCAATTGACTGCTCTGTTGGGTCACAATGGAGCAGGAAAATCGACAACGATTTCAATGATCACAGGTACGATGAAATGTATATTTTTTATAATAAAAAAATATAGTTTTGTTGAAATAAAAGAAAGTTGATCATTGCTTGACTAATTGATCTTATAATTGAACTATATTTGTGAGTTAATGACGTTCATTTTTAATATTAATATACGTTAGCTAATCTTTAGGTTATATACCGCCCACAACTGGTCAAATTGTTGTTAATGGCTTCGATATTGCCACATCAATTGATAAAGTTCGTGATAATTTGGGTTTATGTCCACAATATAACATATTATTCGATTATTTGACTGTTAAAGAACATTTGAAGCTGTTTGCTATTGTAAGTGTTCTAATTTTTACCTCATTATAGAATGTAACTAGAATTTTGTATATTTAAAGCTAAAAGGGCACCCATCGAATGACGTTGAAAATGAAATACAAAAAATGGTTAAAGATCTGAATTTGGAAGATAAGTTAAATACTCTCTCAAAAGCATTATCCGGCGGTAAGTCTACAAGAATCATTAATGGTTTACATTCAATTGTTTTTGTTATTTTTTTTTCAGGTATGAAACGAAAATTAAGTGTCGGTATTGCATTAATTGCTGATTCAAAAGTACGTTGTAGAATCTGCTAAAGAATACAATAGTAATTCCACTCTATTATAGATCGTTATTTTGGATGAACCAACGAGCGGTATGTACCTGACCATTTTTAATATATAAATTCATTTTCATATGTTTTGTTTTTATTCAGGAATGGATCCTGCTGCTAGACGTTCTACATGGGATATGTTACAACGTTATCGTACTGATCGAACAATTTTATTCACAACTCATTTCATGGATGAAGCTGATATTCTGTCAGATAGAATTGCTATCATTGGCGATGGTCGAATACGATGTTGTGGTTCACCATTTTTTCTAAAAACAAAATATGGTAATAAAAAAATTTATTCTTTACGTATATTAAAAATTAATTAAGTAGTCATTATTCGTTCTAGGTGTTGGTTATCATTTAATATTATCTAAAAATGTTGAAGCAGATGTTGAAAATATTGTTCAAATTGTTCAAAAGCATGTACCATTAGCTCAATTAGAAAGTAACATTAGTGCCGAATGTAGTATATTATTACCACATGCATCATCAGCAAAATTTCCTGATTTGTTTGATGAAATTGAACAGAAAAAAGATTCTTTACAAATATTTAGTATTGGATTATCAGAAACATCTATTGAAGAAGTTTTTATGAAGATGTAAAATAATAAATATTCTTCTAATAATGAAGTTTGATGAATATGATTCTGTTTTCTTTTAGCGTTGAAACTGAGGAACTTACTGATACCATATCAATGTTGCCAGAAAAACAATTGAATAATGGATTTCAAGAAGATACTGAAACGATTCCAGATAATGGACATTATTCAAATGATGATGCCGCACTTGTCACTATAAACTGTATGAATAGGAGAACAACTCATGCGCTAAAAGATAATATTGATTGATACATAGACAGAAAGAATGGAATATAAAGGCATCAGGTGTACTTTCATTTGAAAACAAACCTCGTGAATATACCTGGTACAAGCGCTTGATTACTTGATGAGTAGTTGGAAAGTATGTGACAAGTTAAGTACTTGAGCAAGAACTTGCTAAGTGTCGCTATTTGACTTGCTTCAGCCAAGTACTTTGACAAGTCAGTCACCCTTTTCTTTTGCATTGACTACTGATATATAAACACCACAATATCAATCGTTATACACTTATAAAATAAACTTATTTATTTCTGCTGATTTGAACAAACTTAGTAACCGTGCATGTATTTGCTATATAAAAGTAGAGTATAGCTCCAGAATATGTATAAAATACAAAACAAAAATAAATAAAACAAGTACGTGACTGAACTTTTCCAAGTAAATTTACTTGCATTGTGTAAGCCACGTACTACTTGACAAGCAAATTTACTTTGAAAAGTCCACAAGTACTATCTTCATTACTTAATCCAAGTATTTGCGCAAGTACATTCACGAGGGAACAATAAAAGACTGACGTTTCTTCAATGATTTATCAGCAGTCTACCTCTTTTTCTATGCTTCTAGTGATAGAGCTACTTCTCTTTAACAATTTTTGGCTCTTGTCGTATATTTTACACTAGTCAATGAATACTTTGATGTTAGCTGTTCTATTTGAAGAGAAATGTATATCGAGAAAATTTATTGTTCAAATGAGAGAGAGCTATACTTCTTTTTGTTTATGTACCTATCGAGTATTCTTTATGAAACTATTTAACAGCATTCTTTCATGACTCGTCTTTCTTTTTACAGCTACATCTGAAACAATAATAGCCAAAAATTCTGATATTTCTCTGTGGATTCAACAATTAAAAGCGTTGCTTCTGAAACGTATATTGAATTCTGCTCGTAATTATTTGGTTTTATTTGCGACATTTTTACCCGCTATATTCGTGATCATATCACTTATTATTGAACAACAAATACCAAGACCAGAAGATTCACCCCCACTCCTTATCACCGCTGACCGCTATTCTTGGACACGTGTACCCTATACTTATGATACAAATTCATCGATATCAACAGCATTTGCCAATATCTACAGGAATATTACAGCACATTCTGATAAGGAGACACCGATCGATTTAACAAAACCATTTCAAGGTGATTGCCATGATTTGAAACCAATGAATTTGTTAGGATATCTTGGATGTATTGGAAGATTGAGTGTCGGTAAACTGACGGATCATTATTTAATTGCCGCAGATATTCATGAGTACAATAATTACTCATCTAATGATAATAAAACTGATTTACATTTAATCGGTTTATTTAATAATCAACCGTTTCATGTTCCACCGTTAACGTTGAATGAGTTAACAAATTCTCTATTACATTATTATTCGATAACTGACAATTACACCAATAATAGTTTTATAAAAGTCATCAATCATCCATTACCACGATCATCGAGAGATGAACTAAACGATTTTCAATCAAAACAATTTTTTGGTTTTCGTTTATCATCATCGATCGTCTTCGGAATGGGCTTTGCGATGGCCTCATTTGCCGTGTTTCTGATTAAAGAACGTGTTTCAAAAGCAAAACATTTACAATTTTTAAGTGGAGCAAATGCCGCTAATTTTTGGATCTCAACAATTATATGGGATGCCGTTTATTACTTGATTCCAACAGTTTGTATATATTTTGTATGGTGGGTAAGTAAAGATGAAAAGTTCTAGTTTGTTTCATTTTCACCTTCAATTTTTTTCCCTTTAGATATTTTATCACACGGATGCCCTTAAAGAGGATATTGGTGTTTTTATAACGGGACCACGTTTAGGTTACACAATATTGTTATTTGCATTGTATGGTTGGGCTCATATACCCTATACATATTTACTTTCATACTTATTTCAAATACCCTCATCTGGTTTCGCATGGATTACAATTATCAATATTATAACAAGTATGTTTTCTGTTTAAAGTTGTCTATGATTAAACTTAGTTTCAGTTACTCTTTTTAGGTCAAGCTACTCTTTTAGCTGTTGTCATTTTGGCAATTCCGCAATTAAATTTAGTCAATATTTCAAAAATACTTGAATGGATATTTCTAATATTATTTCCCAACTACAGTCTAGCACAAGCATTTAATGACATATATTCAAATCATGAATATTTAAAGATTTGCCCAGGACTATCAGAGCTTTGTCCATTGGGACCGAATCCATGCTGTAAAAGTATGTTTCTGTATATATAAAATTTTGGTTAATTACACAAAGAGATCAACTCTCTTTCCTCATCTCCACACGACAATGGCCATTGTCGATACTAACTAGTGGAACTATCTGCTGAATTTTTCTTCAACTCACTATATTCTCATTTTACATACCGTAAAAATTGTATAATATCAAAAAATCGAATGTAATTTTCTTTCGAGTATTTTAATTATTCTTTCCTTTAAATTTAGACAATTGTGGCTCAGATTGCATTGATTGGTCATACAATTATTTGGATTGGCATAAGCCCGGTATTGGACGATTTATTGTATTTTTATTTTTGCAAGGTTTAATTTCGTTTACTCTATTGTTATTAATCGATTTTGGTATCGCACACCGATTTAAATCGTTTGTATTCTCGTGTGGAAAGAAAAACCAGAAAGAATACACAAAATTAAATTCTAACACGTCTGATACAATAACAAGGATTGCTCAACCTATTACAAATCAAACCACAACAGAAGCAATAACAACGGATGATCTAATATACGGTGCTGGTGTGCTCGATGATGATGTTAAAAACGAAGAAGAACGCATTCAACAAACACCAACTAATCGTCTGATGGAAACCGATGTTTTAGTTTTGAATAACGTATCAAAAGTCCATGGAATGCTTCGCGCAGTAGATAAAGTTTCATTCGGTGTTAAAAAACAAGAGTGTTTTGGTTTATTAGGAGTGAATGGAGCAGGTAGAGAGTTTGAAATCTATTTTTTGCCAATCTCTGTTGTTTCTCTTCATTCAGGAAAGACTACAATCTTCAAAATGATAACTGGTGATGAATTAGCTAGTAATGGTTCTATTGTATTAGATCATCTTGATATTAACACAAACATGAGAAGAGCACAACGAAAAATGGGTTATTGTCCACAATTCGACGCATTAATTGACTTACTCACCGGTGAAGAAACATTATATTTATTTGCTCGCTTACGGTAAATGATATTGTATTTTAAATTGCATCTGATAATTGTTTTGTTTTATTTTAAATTTTAGTGGTGTCATGGAAATTTTCATACCAAATTTAGTTCGAGATATCATAACATTAATGAATTTAGATAAACATGCAAAAAAATATGTCTACGCATATAGTGGTGGTAATAGAAGAAAATTAAGTGCTGCCGTGGCCTTGATTGGAGATCCAGCTATCATATTTTTAGATGTATGTACAATATATTCATTTTTATAAATTACCTATTAAGATTAATATTTCAGGAGCCCACTACAGGTATGGATCCAAAAGCACGTCGGTACTTTTGGAATGCTATAGCAAAATTTCGTGATTGTGGAAAACCGATTATACTAACGTCACATAGTATGGAGGAATGCGAAGCCTTATGTACAAGAATAGCTATTATGGTCAACGGACGTTTGAAATGTCTGGGTAGCATTCAACATCTTAAATCAAAATATGGTCAAGGTAAGATTCAAGGAATTAGCCAAGAGATTCTAGAATTAATTACGTAAATTTTTCTTTTTCTCTAGGTTATACATTAGTTGCCAAATTGAATTCGTTTACCGAAGATAAAATAAATGATTTTTTTAACGTAATTAAAAATACATTTCCTAATGCTCAATTTAAAGAAGCATATGAAGGTTACATCCATATTCATATTGATGAATCAAATCTATCATTCATATTAGCCAAGTTGTTTCGTATAGTTGAAAGTTGTAAACAAAAGTATAATATTGAAAATTATACCGTTAGTCAAACAACGTTAGAACAAGTGTTTTTAACTTTTGCCAAATCACAATTGGATCCAGATGAATTAAAACATCGTTTAAGAAAAAACAGGACACTATTTGGATTAATAAAATCTGGTTCATCATCTTAATATTCTTCTATTTTTTTTATACCTAATTTTTCTCTATTATTACGGATTTTTATTCGACAGACAATCAAAAAATGACGATGCATTCCACAGATGGATAAAACAGATGAATAAAACTTTACTGTGTAAAGTTATCCGATGTTGATGATGACGAAAAAAATTCTTTTCAATTAAACTTAAAGAATGACAGATTAAGAGATGAGAATGCTTTATTCTTGTTTGCGTTTGGATTCGACTTCATGCCTTTGTTTTGTACAAATCAACATTAATATACATTTTTTTTATTTTCATGTAACAGTAACATATTTTCTAGTTTATTTTTTAACTGACTTTCATCTTCGCTATTTACTTGAGAAGATTTTATTTTTGTAACAAGGTGTACCAAACTGTTGGTATACCATTTTCATATCAATTATTGATCCATTGTTTTATTCTTGTCTATGTCTTCAAATCCTTTCGAGATGTTCATCTTTCCCAACGAGATATTTTTGAGTTTGTCAATCAAAAGTCAAAGGTTTTATTCTCCACATATCTAGTGTGCTGAAAAGCTATAAGTTTTTTGTTCTTTAGATTTTTTAAAATGACTATCGCTCTCTAATACTTTCTTGAAAGAGCACTTATAAGGTACGAACAGTTCTCAGTTCGAGTTGACAATCCGATTAGCTCTGCTTCCGTAAGAGAAGAGCATGCCTGCTAAGCCCAATTTCAAATTTAACTCAGAAGAACTGAGATGAAACTTCAGGTTTTTGCAATTTCTTTTATTCTCATATGTATGTTCCAGGCGGCCGAATTTACGGCAATTCTATAAAGATCTTATAGAAATCTCATAAGAATCTTATATAAGGCAGTCGATGGAAATGCGTAGAATATTGATAACATTCTTATACTAACGAATATAAGAATTTTGTAAGATTCTGATAAGAATTCGGCAAGACAGATTGTATAATTAGTTTAGAAGAATTCATAAGATTTTAATAAGTTAACATACGAACTTTTATTTACATCAATTAAAGCGTCTACCTATATGCAAAGTGAATGGGGAACCCTGCATCGTATAGGATCTTGCGAAACACAAGAAATGGTTTTAGGATCCTATGTAATCTTATCATAGGAATTCATGTGATTTCTATTGTAGGATAGTGTGTAATTCTTATAAAATTCTACCATCTAAATCCTATATTAGCTTACACTAAAAAACCTATCACATGCTGTGAATTCTTATACAGGATATCTAGAATTTTGTCAGAATTATATTGAGAGATCTAGTTTGTATTTACTAGTAACAACTGATTAAAATGTTTTTCAACGATACATTCTCTGTCGCAATCAGTCAAGAAACTCGTTTCTTTAACACTGACTACTGGGTGATGAGTCATGTAAGTAACTGTACAGGAATTTCTTTTGTGACGTGCTTTATTAAGATAGGTATGAAAGGAATTTTGATGCATATTAGTAGTACTCGAGCTGTTCTATGTTCTACGACTTAGAGAGTCCGAATTGAATGCCATCTTTATAGAGAAAAAAGGGTTTCTGTAAGTGGTACCTTTTGCTACAGATCAGTTTGAAAAAGAAGTACATCCGGTCTACAAGTAGTATACAATGAGGGCGCATCTTTAGACTGTCCGCTTGGAACTAAGATTTTTTATAGAGAAACAAAATAAATAGGAAGAAAATTATTTTATTTACGTATGAAACAGTAGATTAGAGTAAGCAAGTAGAATATAAAGTACTGATTACTAAAAAATATGATGAAATTTGATTATATCCTTTAATATCCAACTTCGGATTGGATATAACGGTTGACCAGAAATCTCCAGGCTTATAAGAATCGGAATCTTATATAAGTTCAAAGCAGTTGACTTACGAATATTTTATATCCTATATAAGATTTGGTCTCTAGAGTGCTCTACTGTGAACTAAATAATTATTAAGGCGAAGCGGACCCCTCAAAAGACAATGTTAAACCTTCTCAGATTGTAGAGAATAACTGAACACATATATCACGAATTATTTTTCGAAGAACCGAGTTATAAATTAGCTATGATAAAAATTTTAGCAAAAACATTAACTGCTGGAGCTATTTTTAAAAACTTAACTGTTTCACCAAAACTAATTATACAAACGTGATTCTTGTGTACGTATATCGAGAATCATTTTTAGTTATAGTCGCATTTCAGATATTTCAGAAATGAACTATACTAGGATATAGATTAATAATTAATTAATCCTAATTAATGCCAATTATGAATAGTTCTCAGTAATTTATATTTTTTATTAACAAATCAACGGTTGTTTTGAAAATAATCAGACAATACATTATTCGAATTAGCTTTTCAAGCGCTATAATACTTCATATTTGCTTTTCAAAAGAATAGTTCATAATGAATCTTATAAGTTCTTTTGAGATCGCTCACGTCTCTAACGTCCAAGAAATAATATTTCATTTGATTCTGGGATAAACCGCACCATCATATTGTCCCCATTGTGTATTTTCAGGAGACAAATGATTTTATCTTAAACTCAGAGTTTAGTAATTAAACGGTTTTAAAAAGGTTTTCTAGAAAACTCATGTTCTCGAAAATTGAAAAACTAGTTTTTATGCTAATTTTCCACATTTAGTACAAAAAAATGATTCTTAGAAATATATCGTAGTATATTGATATATTATACAGTGTATATACACCTTATATAATGCATTTTAGTGCTAACTATAACCATATTTGCTTGTATCATGATCTGCTGTTACTTGTTCTTGTCTGTGTTTTTGTTTTCGTATATTTATTTTTTGCCGTTCTATATTCGTTTTATTAGCACGTTTCATCCGTTTATAATCGATCGTCAACAAATGTGATAATAACGTATTGTTTTATTTCAATATCAGTTTCCTTCGAACACTAAAATTGACCAACCACTATTAAAATATAATGCCGCTAAAGCTGCTGTGAAATCTATTGTGTTTCGAATATAGTCTACACAATACTATTTAACGACTCATTAGAATTTTGAGTCAGTCGTCTCAAACACCTTTTTAAAAGCTCATCTGATGTTAATTATTGTATTGTTCGTTGTAAAACTTCATTAATACAATCGGTAAACGACGTTTTCTTTGTCATTATTATTATTTGTTAGTTTATCTTTCTAATAGTTACACCACTTATCAAGTGTTGATGGACAATATTAATGTTGTTGCTGTTTGTTATTGATTGTGTATTATGAAGAAAAGCAGCAAGACACTTTTATTTCATAATTTTAACGGCTGCATCTTTATCTTTGCCACTACAAATTTGCTTGTGTCAGATATAGCAAGACCATAATATCTTAATATTTTATGTATCCTATTAGTTGTCATACGTACACGACCTCCGACTTTTCACTAGTAAACGTTCTAATGTGTTACTCTTTGTGGCTGCTGCTACATAATCTTGTTTTGCTGCATTTATTTTTTTCAATGTTGGTAATGTTGATCTTGTTGGAGTAGATACTTCGTCATATCCTTGCCATTGCTTTTTCGATTTTAACAGATGTGTTAAAATTCTTTTTTTAACATGATTGATACATTTTTCTTTATGAACAATATATTTATTTGTATGATCGTTATTACTACCATACGTATTATCTGCTTCACCGCTACTATTCGCTTCTTTTTTATCTTCTTCACAGCCATCATTTTGTTTTTCGTCGGCTTCATCTCTTTCTTCATCACTTTCGTCTCTTTATGTGCTTCTTCACACTCATGTTCAGATGTTTTCTATCATTCATCATCGCCGGCGTCAACACTTTCACCTTCATTTTCATTGTTTTTTTCAATATCAACATAATAATACTTTATTTCATTATATACCGCACTATCTCCATTCAGATACCAGCCATTTATATCTTAGTCCATTACTTAATGATCTTCCATACATACGTTTCGTATCTTCACTTTACATACCCTTTCGCTTTACTATAATAGTTTTGTGAACACAGTGATTCATGCCTCTTGTACTATTTTTGAATACAAAAGTTGTCAAACGACTTCTTTGCAAATTACCAAAATTTGCAATCAAACTCAAAACTTCGTAATCTACATGAAAAACAATACCGTATTACGATGTCCCACCTCTTTTATTCCATGTATTGAAGAAATGATTTCTAAGAATCTAATTAAAACGTGGAAAACCTAAAGTAGTAAATAAAGTTCGTTTCTTGCATTAAAAAATTCTTAAATTCTTATTATTGGCAGCTTTACTTATTTGTAATAGTCAAAAAGTTAAACGTTTTCGTCAAATTTTATACTTCATGAGTCCAACATACTAAAACCTTGCCACAGATTATCGTTCAATGAAGCACAATGGAAAACAGCTGAGAAAACTCTGTTTTAGGCGCCAAATGGGATGGTACTGAGTGTAATACTTTTTTCAGTGTAACGGAAAAGTTTTGAGAAAAATCAAATTTAAGAATTTAATATTAATAAAAAACTTAAAACTCAATTTTTCTCAAAACGTTTCCGTTACACTGAAAAAAGTATTACACTCAGTACCACCCCATTTGGCACCTAATGAAGAGTTTTCTCAGCAAAAATGTTTTTCAATTGTGTTTCTTTGAGCCACAATCTGTGACAAAGTTCTTAAAAGATACTAGTTTTCTTAAAAAATGATATTTCAAGAAGAAAAAAAATTTTTGTTAATCAAATTTCATTCAAAAATCGCTAAAACTTCACCATATAGACGGTCCGATGTCTTCGATCGGCCGAAATCAATCTTATCATTAGAGCATGCTTCTTCAATGCACAGCAAACTTTTTAAAAGATTTTCTTAAATTTCTTTAAACTTTTAAAAGTTAAAAAAAATAGAAAAAAGATTATTTTCTTCTCAAATCAGCCTTAGAAATGAGCAACTCATTAACCTTTTTTACTCTTTAGACCTGTGAATGTGAAAACAATAATACGTCGAATAAATTCACTTTTTTTTCTACGTTTGTATAAAAAAGCGAAACCAAGAATATTTATGAACAGGTGCACATTCGTCCCATAACGAGTGTTTTAGTTGTTCACGTTCAGCTTTCCATAAACCATTGTTTTCTTCTTCTTTCAATTATCTCAACAGTAAGATCAACGTTATAAACTTTTTTAATTGAGATTTTTTCTTTGTACGATCCAAGTAAGTATAACAGAACACACGCACACATGAAACAGCCGAAGGTCAACGATAGGGCAGCAGAATTTTCTTTGTCTTCTATTCTTTGTTCCAATTTTATGACTTTACTATCCATTGTCCTGTTCCCTTTCTTTTTGTCGTCTGACACCTTCTGCCTCTGTACACTAGAAATAAATGAAAAATTGCTCACATTTCAAATCTTTCAGTTGTACTATGTGATGAGTTTATTATAATCAAAGCGCGGCACGCGTTCATGGTAGAATGGAGGAGAAAAGAGACATTTTCTATTATTTCTTTGTCTCTCTGTTCTGTTCTTCTATATATATTTCTTCATTCTTCTCGTTATATCAACTTCACCCTAAAAATAATTTCCTAAAGTTTTCAATACAGAAAGAAAAAAATTCAAAATTTAGAACTGTCCATATGTTGCCGTTATTATTTATTGTTTTCGAAAGCTAGATGGAAAACAAGCAGATTCAGCTTCCCCCCCTGTCGGGTGTTTGTCTTTTTTTTTTTCTCTTGAACAGCAGCCTCATTTTGCACAGTATATAAAGAAGGACGAGAAAAAAAATATTTTCTTGTACATTTTAAATAGTTTTAATTGTATATATATATAGGTGTACAGATAGAAGGATAGTACGCAGCAGAGATAGAATAAGTGAACTTTGTTTTAGAATGACAACACTCTACATATAATATAACAGACCAGTCGGTTAGAGAAGATCGATGTTTCTCTCCCTCACTCTCACTCTCTCTCTCTCTCTCCTGTTCTTTATCTCTCTGTATATGAATGACACAAGCCGCGTATGACAGTTCATCGTGTCGTTCCTTTTTTATTCATTTCTTCAAAACTGTACTATGGTCCATCCCCGTTACATGAAAATTAAACCTTTGTCTATTTTTCTATTCTTAGACTATTTCTCTTTTAAATCTTCTTAAGTTCTGTTGGATATATGTGTGTGTGTGTTCTGGAAAAAAAGCAGTTAAAGTTATAAAGCTCACGTTTATTTTCAAATAATCAATTCATTCAACTCGAAATGAACACAACTGAATTGAAAACATCTTCAGATTATCTGAAAAAGTACGTACAAATAAAGGTATTTGGTTAATTTACGATTTTTAAATTTGCTCATCTGCAGTATGAAAGTTCGAATTTTTTTTATTTTGTTTCATTGGAGAACGTTCAATACCTAATCCCTGAGCTTACATTATTACTCTTTCCATATGTCTGCTACACTGTTGAAGAAAACATAGACGCATTATTAAAAAAGGAGATTCTCACGTTTTATAAAATGCATTTTGGCATTCAGCTTTCTTGGCAACGCATAAAAATTAAAAAATCTCTTATACAGCGTTCAAACGTGTTAACTATTCATCTTTAACTTTAAAAATTAAAATGTTTCCCTCGTACGTGCTAATCATTCAAAAAAAAATTAGCTATCGGTCATATTTTTGTATTCTCACGTGCTAAAAGTTTTTTTTACTAGTTTAAAAGTTATTTTATATTTTCAACTACAGTATCGCTACACTTAACATTTGAGAATCTGTTATTTTTCCTACTTTTTTCTTATATTTACGAATACATGATGGAATCCCCCAATTGTGGATACAGAATTATTCTTGGTTACGTGTACTAGGTAAAAAAGTGTGATGTACATGCGGTCGCACCAATCTGATACTTCCATTATATCATTGTTGATAGGAAGAGAAAAACATGCAGTTAGCGGTTTTAACTGAGATTTTCTGACTCCGCACGGGTGAGTATATTTCACATTTGACAGAACGGACAGTACTTTTCAGACAATCGTATTTGACTTGAGCAACAAAACACTCTCGATTAATTCTCAGTAACCTACGTAATAAAGGAATTCAATTGTTCTACTATGAGGGTTATTATTACCCATTGTACTTCGACATATTATTCACCCTGAATCGAACGAAGAATGGCTCAAAACACTTTTCTTAATATGAAATTGTAAACTTGTTTAAGATTTTTACGCGTATGAAACTTTTGATTTCAACTTGTGGGAACGTGTTTTTTCAATACTTTTAACGTATTCGTTCGACTGGTTGCCTCCGAAAATATTTTATGAGTTTACAGTTTAGTTATTCCTTCGGATTTTTATCCGGACCCTCTTTTCTTCCTTAAAGCTCTCTGAAATAAGGGTTTATATCCATAGATCAAAATTGTGAAAACTTGGAAATTTGACAGCGATGACTATTTCTTAAACAAATCTGTCGAATTTCTTTCCTCCTGATCCATAATGAGAAAAAAATTCTTACTAGGTTCTTTTTTAATTAGAATATAGGGATTTTTGATAACACACAACGTACACTGTTTGCCTCGATTTTGAGACCCACTAAATGCAAGTACAGACGTGGCTCGATATCTTTAAAGTCGTAACAGTCGTAGAAAGGCAAGAAATAAAGCATTGTACTTGAATTCTTTTCCTCTCTGTATCATACGGTATTTATAAACACAGCTGATTTACATGTGTATGTGTGGCGAACGGCCTCTTCTCGAATTGTTTTGGAAACAAAGACTATGAAAGAACAATTGTACATCTAGATACTATGGTGAAATTCTTTAGTATTATCTATCTTTATTCTGTCTCTTTTCTAACAGATTGTGCGGACGTTCGTAATTTAGAGACTAATTTTTTCTCTCTTATAAGTATTTTGAATCTTTGTTAAATATGATTAGGTAAGCAATTTTCTTTCTTCTTGCTGTAGAAGTGTTTCCTTAAATCCCTAGTTTAGTTCAACCCAACTACTAAGTATGCAGTATTTGTCAGTTTTCGTGGTTAAAGATATTACTGTTATATATTAACACCAAGAAAGATATCGCTCACACACGCTGTTATAGAGGTGAATGTGATAAAGTTACGACAAGTACAGAGAAACCGTAAGTTCATACAATAGGATTACAATCTACAAAGAAAGGTTGATTCATGATTGTATACTTAAGGCTGACTTTAGAATTTGTATGAAACACATTCCTTGAGTGTTTACATCACTAATTATTTGTAATTCATGAGAATAACAGTTTGGGTTTTTTTAGTTTGGATATGCTTGCTGGCATAGCAGCTATTCAATCCCCATTGTTAACAATTACATCATCTCCAACGACATCGAACGACGATAACAACAACAACAGTCTCAAAGATGAATCAAATGAATCGATATCATCGGATGATAAATCGAGTATTTTAAGTGAAAAAGAATTATGGAATACAACTGAATTAGGCATCTTTAAGGTGCAAAGAACACAAAAAAACAAACCTTGTTTATTATTAGATGGTCATCGTTATAAACAACGACGTACAAATTTAGATGGTAGCGTGTCATGGACTTGTACACAGTAAGTTAGTTTTATGGTTAAATTTTCTTCGAACAAGTATGCGTAGATCGGTCCCTTTCTCCACAATAGCCATTTCGTCACATTCTCCATGTCCTCTTTTTATTGTTTAAAATCTTCATACATATTCTGGATCATTACTTTTGACCATTTTTAATTTATACTTGACAAATTCTTAGTATTTTGGATTTCACTTCTTTTAGTGAATTGTGTAGTGCAAGTGTTCGTACATACCAAGATCGTGTTGTAAGACGTAATGATGATCATTTACATGATCGTATTGTTCGTATTGATCCTGGTCATGAATTTTTAGCAAGATTAAAAAAACGTGCCTATGAAGATACATTAACAATACCGCGAATATACGATGAAGAAGTTCAATATTCAATAAATAAACATGGTAAAGATATCGAAAAACAATTGCCAACATTCAGTTCCGTCAAATCAACATTGTATCGTCATCGTCAAAAGAAACAAAAACCACAAGTTCAAAATTCACAAACAACTCATCCGTTAAACGTATCGAACAGAACATTAACATCATCTCCAACAATCATGTCATCATTACCACTAAAAAAACGATTCAAAGCAAATAATCTTACTGTTTCTGTTGATCAAACATTCACATCTTCGACCTCAAAAAATTTGCAACCTAATATCTCACCATCAGATAAAGGACATAAATTAGTATATCCACAATGTTCACCAACAATATGGCAACAACAACAGCAAATGCATAATACATCAATCAACAATAATAATTATCATTACAATAATACACAACAAAATATCTTGTTAAATCAAAATCAACAACAACTCGATATGTCAAATATATTTCCAAGTGCATATCAGTATTTTTGTTTTCAAAATTATTTGGCAGCAAAAATGAATGAAAATAGTCAGGGACAAAATCTTACATTATTTAATACACTTAAAGCCAATAATTTAACGGAACAAATACAACAACTACAAGCATTTCAAACTTTTCAAATGAAAATACATTTGAAAAATGAGGCAGCTAAAATATGTCATCAAACACAAGAAGAATATTGTCAAACATTGTACAATACCAATCTTTCTCCTGTTGTGAATTTACGTTATGATAATAAGAGAAATCATGGAGAAACTGATGACGATATTGAGGAGACATCATTAATAATTGATGAACGACAACAATATGATGAATATGAAAATCAGTCGTCAACAGTTAAAAAACGTTTATCATTTAGTGATGTGATGATACAACAGCAATCAGCATTACGTGAACGATGTAGTAATACAGCAATGTTGCCATTAGATTTAAGTGTGGTTAAAGTACAAAAACAAGAAGCAGATTAAAATTATCCAATTTTTTAAATGAACAGTTCAATGATGGTAAGTAAATTACGTAGTTTCATTTCATTGGTTAGAAGTACTTTTAATAACAACAACAGTGTTGTTTTACTGTTTAGGTCGGCCATTTATAATCAAAACAAAATGCAAATATCTAGATAAATTATGCTTCCTTCTTTTTTTAACGCCATGAATTCTTTCATTTTTTAAAAATTTTTCATCATTATCTAGTCAAAGAAGCAAATTAACTGTAATAGGTTGTTTATCATACGCTCTAGTCGACGTTGTTTTCTTTACCTTTCTTTTTTTTGTTGTATTGTCTAGTCGAACAATTTATATATGTGATGTTTTTTCTCTTTCCACGCAACCGTCAGATTGTGGATATTTCACTCTAGTATATTGTTTTTAAATATTTTTCTTAACCTTTTCTTTTTCTCTAATCAAATTCGAGTATAGACGAAAACATTGCTCAATTCGAGACTGTCGGTCGTCTCGATATTATCAACGAAAACAAAAAAATAGTCATGGGTGCTCTTTCATTTTGTTGTTTTTTATATTTGTGATTATGATCAGTGTTTATCTTATTTATTCTGTGTTGAACGATTTGTCTTCTCTCTTCTGTTTGTTGTTTTGTGTCGGAGGTTTTTCTCTTTGAGAAACAAAACCACACGAGTATACGAGGTGTGTGTACGTATATGTTAAACTAGTCACTTGTATACCTACTTTTTTTCAAAGTATTTATTTTTTGTTGCATGGTAAGATAAAATGAGAACTCAATATGCATTCCAAAGAAAATAACATTCTTATGATTGACAAAAGTGTGCCTTGTTTTTTTATTGTACTTTTTGATATACGTAGTGATTGGTTCATTTTTTTTCCTTTGTTTTTTATTACTAAATTAATCTTGAATGCTCAACTATGGAAGGATTTTGTTGGTATAAAATAAAAAAAATTATTTAAATTTTACCAACTGTTATAGTACGCCATGAAGTCTGTTTATGGGAAATGATATAAGGATGATATGTTCTTCGTTTTTCTGAAAACCAATTGAAATAAGTGAAATAGAAGACAATTTCTTCAGTGATAACTAGAAGATGTAGAGTACTGAGCATGCTGACAAATGGTGCTTCGTACCAATACAGACTGATAACTGTCAACAGACGCTAACACTATCAGACTAATGGTGTAGTCATGTTTCTTTGTCATGTTGACAAAGGTGGAAGCAAATGTCCAAGTGAACTCAAATTTTCAACACAGTTAGATATCAGAAAAGAAAATTCATATATTTTATTTTTGTTCTTCACTTTCAAAAGATTTTTCCAATATCTCGAGAAGGAAAGCAGACTTTTGTAAAAAGATTAGAATCTGTGAGGGTCTGGAATATCTGTGGTAAAAATTTCGACTCGATCTGACCATTTAATTGGGAGTCTGCAACGTGGCTGAATGAACTCATAGTCTCAACTTTTTGTATGGAGTTGCACTCTCATTTGAGACTTAAGACCGGTAAATAGAGCAAAGCCTGCTTTATCTTATGCCATTCAAAAGGACAAGTTTTTTCGAGAACTTTTTGATTTTAAAACGCTTTGTTTGTTTTTCCAGTTAAAAAACACGTTTATCAACAGAAAATGTTTTTGAATGGAACGGGTTCGCTTTGTTTTTGAACCGTGTTTCAGAAGATAAACACGTTCAAACGAGTTCTTTATAAATACCAGTTTGGACGCGGTTTACTTTCAAACACATTTTTAGGCAGAAAAACACGTTTTCGTATTGGGTCAGTTTATCAAGTTGACTCAACTTCTTGCAGTTTATACTAGCATTAGCCGCTCGTCACCCTTTTCCAATGAATGGCATTTTGCGAGGGAAAGAGTTTAAATTGAGTTTTTATAAAAAAAACCATAGTTTAAATAAAAACGCCGATGTATGCTTCAACTATCCAATATTCACTGAGTCTAGCCAGAAGTAGATAAGCTATTTTTGTGAGTTTGTATACATTCCCCTAATATCGACATGTGTAATATTTTTGTACATAATTTGATTATGTTTTTGTTGCCTCACACTTTGTTTTCTTTATAAAACACAAATGCATAAATTTAGCCTTCGCATTCAGATCATTATACCGTTACAACAGATAAACAATGCCCTAGTCGAGGCTCCCGGCCAAAGTTCCGGAAAAAAATCCCGCGAGAGTCCCACGGGACTCCCGTCACGGGGTCTCATCGGGAGTCCCGCGGGACTTTTTGATAAACTCTCGCGGGAGTCCCAGCAAAATTCCAAAATATCTAAACAAAATTGAAAAATGTCCCGCGAGAGTCCCTATAAAATCTTCGCAACGAAAAATCGTAGAAGCTCGTAAACGTCTTAAATTAAAGTTTCAACTCTTTTCTGCATTTTGAGATCTCTTGGGACTCTAGAAAAGCTATCCTCAAAAAGTTATGATTAAAACGCCGCTAGCTATATTTCGATTTATTTTTTGGAAAAGTGAATCTCGCCGTTTTAATCATAACTTTTTGAGGTTACATTTTCTAGAGTCCGAAGAGATCTCAAAATGCAGAAAAGAGTTGAATATTTAATTTAAGACGTTTCCGAGCTGTCTATGATTCCACTATGTT